CCAACCATTTTAGAGAGCAATGTGGAACTATGCCCAAGGGGCTACAAAAATGTGCATACCCTCTGACTCAACAATAGCATTTCTAGGGCTATATCCCAAAGAGATCATAAAAATGGGAAAAGGACCCAGAAGTACAAAAATATTTATAGCAGCCCTTTTTGTGGTGGCAAAGAACTGGAAACTGAGGGGATGCCATGAATTGGGGAATGGCTGAACAAGCTGAGGTATATGAATGTAATGGAATACTACTGTGTTATAAGAAATGATGAGCAGGCAGACTTCAGAAAAACCTGGAAAGACTTGTATGGACTGATGCTGAGTGAAGTGAGCAGAACCAGGAGAACCGTGTACACAGTAATAGCCACATTGTGCAATAACTAACTTTGATAGACTTAGCACTTCTCAGCATTGCAAGGATCTAAGATATCTCCAAAAGTCTCATGATGGAAAATGCTATCGACATCCAAAGAAAGAACTATGGAGTTTAAACAGAGACTAAAGCATACTATTTGCTATTTTTTTTCTTCTGTTTTGTTTCTTCTTTCTGGTAGTTCCTCCTATTAGTTCTAATTTTTCCTTACAAAAATGACTATGTGAAAATAAAAAAATTAGCCATAAGCTGTGATTAGTGACACTTGCTATTTGAAGTAATATCTCATGGGACTGTAATCTGATATCAATCTAAGTTCTGATTTCAAATATGACTGCTTGTACTGTCATGAGACCAAAAGTCCACCATTCAAGGGGGATGCCACGTGCTGCCCAGAAGGAGTCCAGTCTGAAAATTGCTACATATAGATATCTGTGTCTGGGAAAAATTGAGGGGACAACTTGGGCATGGCTGAAGGTAGGATCCTCTTGACTCAGTTTCCCTATATTATATTGTTACTTCCCTTTGAACAAGAATGTTTCCCATACAGCTAATCCAGACACTGACGATAATACCCTGTAAATGAGGTGGAATTTTGCTGTATAATCAGCTGTTCCTAAAACTTAACTATGATTCTTGGCTGAAATCAAAAAGAGCTAAGGATGTTCTATCCTGGTATACTTATCATTCTATGCCCTTGGGCCTGGAGGACCAGTTTTAACACTATCATACCATGTCCATTATTCTTCCTCTATCCTAAGAAAGAGTTAAATTAGTGCTTGAACTTGTCAAATGTATAAGGTTAAGTTCCTGAAGTATTTCAATCCGGGAATAATTAGACAATGATTAAGAAGCTTATGAAACAAAGATATAAATCTATTAATTCACAAATTTAATCTCACAAGGTTAAAGTCAGAAAACTCTTCTATTTTTAAGGAATACAATTTCCGTGAAATCAGTTAATTTAGTGGAGAATAATTTGTGAACTACCTTGCAGGAAAACTGATTTTACTTAGGTTTGTTATTTAATATGGGATTAAGACCCGTATATAAAGCATGTTCTGAAATGCAAAACTACTCAAGAGTCACCTTAAAGATGTTCCCTTTGCTTACAGGGCTTTTACGAGCAATAATCTATATTTGTGTAATATCTATTCCACTTGAACATGGTTAAATGACTGAACGTTTTACTATAGACAACTTGTTTCATATAAACTATTCTCTGTATACAATTTGGCATTAATTACTTAGTATATTTACACATTCCAAGTATATTTACACATCTCAAGTCTTTTGTTGTTTGCTATTAAGTAGCTTTTAAGCAAATTTCATCTGTGTACCTGTTGAACCTAGAGAAAAAAGCATCAGTGCTGGTAGCTATGTATTCATGTACAGAATTAAATCCTTAAAGTATCTCTTCCTCCTAAATCAGCAGGTGTGAAAAGAAATTCTGAGAAAGCAACAAGATCAGATAATTATATATGTCAAATGTAAATGATTCTAATAGGATATACAAGCTTTGAGAATGTTATAAAAATAAGTTCTAAAAATTGGGTTCAGAATTTTACATGTAAAATTTAACTAATAATTGTAAAGACAACAGAAACAGCAAATGATACGTAATAACTGAAATTTTCTGACATTTCAGGTCTATTATGGATTTCTAATTTATTGTTCTTCTTATAGCTCTATTGTCAATAAGACCAGAATCATAAGGTTTGAGCTAGTTTTTAACCACAAGACCTAGTTATTAAAAAAACCAAATTTAAGAAGTTAAACTAAGTTGTATTAAGTCTTGTTAGTAACAGATTTGGTAGAACTACTTAGGAATCTCTCCAAGTGACTTGGAAGTAGGGAAGAATATCCACTGAAAGAAGACCCCTCCAGAGCTGCTATGAGACCGAGGCCTATTCCAGAATATCCAAGGTAAGCTATTTCTAGGAACCAGACAACTGCATGGGACATCTGGGACTCAAGATGAAAAGTGTTGATTAACTGAGCACTGGGAGTGGGTTACCAGGTTACAAGGAATATTGATGTTATCATTATTTTATTACTTTGGTCTTCTGTTTTATGGTATTTCTGTTTACTGAGTTTTCCTGGTGACTTTGCTGATTTGTAAATCTCTCTAAAATTAGTATGCCCTCTAAATGACCTGATCTGCAACAGGCCTTAGTTTACATACAGGGTCTATTTAATAAAGTTTGTCTCACTGGGGGATACATGAGATTATGACTGTTATCTAAGTTTATTCAATTCTGTGACATTGATGGAAACATAGGATCATTATTTGTGACACCCATGGCCAAAGCACATTTATTTTCTGTTGTGAGCTTAAATCCCCTGGCTTAAAGCGATTAACTGGGCACACTCAGCAGAGATTAGGATGATATAGCTGAGGATTAAGGAGTGATATAAAACCAAATGTGGTGTGGAAGTATATATGTATATTTTGTTTTGTTGTTCAGTCATTTCCATATATATAGTTAACACCAACCGGGGGAATTGTTAAAAGTTATGCCAAGTCAGTGACCCATTGTTCCCTGACCAGTTTGTTAATATGTTGGGGGGTGGCATCACCTAGTCTGTAGCTTTTGTACTATCTGCTATTTATCATCTACAATCTGTTAAACAACATCTGTTAAACAACAAGTAGACTTCAGATACTGGCAATAAAGGAGGCGCTACAATGCAATGGACTAATTCCTTTCACTGATATGGTCCTATCTTAATTGTCTTTATCTAACTTAATCAGTAAAAGCAGGCTCCATCTTGAATCCCTTGCTGATCTCCACTGATTAGTCTGTCAATATTTTGCTGCCTTGACATAACTTTTAACAAGCTCTTTGTAATTCTCTTGGTCCAGTTTTGCCTTGTTAATATCCAGGCAAAATCCAAATGAAGAATTTTCCTCTTAAAAAAACTTTATAGCAAGGCACTTTGTTGAGCACTATGAATAAATAAAACAAAGCCCTATCCCCAAAGGAAAGATAAGACACAGAATTTTTTTTAAAAGGTATAAGTGCTATATGCAAAAAAGGATAAGGGGAAATAGGAAAGAAGAGATGGGTTGGTCAGATGGCAAGAAGTAACAAATAAGTAACCTGAGAACTCTACTCATCCTAGAGATGTCAGGAGAAAGGCCTCCATTAAGTAGGGTGTGCCTCTTGTGATAAATTCCTAGAAGAATATGAACAAAGCATGAGGAGAAACAGATGGAGAAACATCTACATCTTTGGAGGGACTATCCAAAGTCATGTGAGCTCCTTGCCAGCGACTGTTTTTCTTTATTTCTTTTTGGGATTGGGGGATTGCCTTTCTTTATATTCCCAGTGCTTAGCACAGGGCCACCAGGCATAGAGTAAGCCTTAATAAATGCTAAATTACTGACTGACATAAATCACAGATCTATTTCAGTATTTGAATAAGTGCTATAAGCCAGGTAGACTCAAATAGAAGTGGCAGTTCAGAGGAAGGTGAGTTCAATGCTCATTTGGGAGGGTGCCCCAGAACGCTTCATGTAAGAACTAACTCTGGGGGCAGCAAGATGGCGCAGTGGATAGAGTACTGGCCCTGGATTCAGGAGGACCTGAGTTCAAATCCACCCTCAGACACATAACACTTCATAACTGCGTGACCCTGGGCAAGTCACTTAACTCCACTGCCTAACCAAAAAGAAAAAAAAAAAAAAAGAACTAACTCTGAGCGATGAAAGATGACTAGGATTTTGACTGACCCTTCCTGGCTTCCTTTAAGTCCTGGTTAAAATTCCACCTTCTATAAGAATCTTTTTCTAAGCCCTCTTAATCTCAGTGCTTTCCCTCTCTTGATGATTTCCTATTTATCCTACATAGTTTGCTTTGTAAAGATTTGTTTGCATGTTGTCTCCTCCATCAGATTGTTAGCTCCTTGAGGAGAGGAACTGTCTTTTGACTCTTTTTGTATGCCTAAGGCTTAGCACAGTGCCTGCCACATAGTAGGCGCTTAAAAAAAAGTTTACTGAATTGAACTGAATAGGCAAAAAGGGAAAGGGAGGAAAAGGAGCATAGCTGGAGCAGGATCAAAGCAAAGGGAGTATTCTATACAAAGGCTAAGGATAACAAGTCTACAAGTATTAGGGGACGGGAGCAGGGTTACAATGTGACTGAAGTCTGGTTGGAGCATTAGACCTTAAAAACCCGAGTAAGAAAATGAAGGGTCTTCAGGTGGCCCCAAGACCTGCCCGATAAGGGGTTGTGAGCAGAAGCAGAGAGACACAAGGACGCCGAGATCGCGCATTAGGAAAAGTAACTAACTCTCGGCGGCCGAGAGCCCAGGGCTCAGGAGGGGGTCTCTGTTCGGGCCTCTCGGGAGCTGACCCCGCTGGCCGATGAAGCAGAAGGACAGGCGGGCAAGGGCAGCCGGCCACGCCGCAGGGGGGGCCGGTCAGCTTCCACGCCTGCCCACCGGACACCCAGCGCTCGTTCCCCGGCCCCGACCCTCAGGCCGCTCGGGCCGGCCGGCTTCCCTCCCTCTCCAACCTTTTGCTCCACCCTTTCCCTAAGTTTGGGTAAGAACCAGGTCTTTTAGCGCTTTTTGGAACCACCCTCCCCGGCCTTGCCTCTCCAGCTCCACATACCCTCCCTCGTACCTGGCCCTCACAGAAAAGACCGCAGCCTCTCTAAGTCCGTCGACTCGCTCAACCTTCGCCGCTGCGCCACTTCCGGCCCCAAGGGAAGGTGGGACCGGAACCATAAAGATGCAACAGCGGGAGTCGGGGGAGGAGAACTGGAGGCCTTGAACTCTAAGAGAGGCGCCTAAACAGAAGCGTTAGGGCGGAAATGGATTCTCACCCTCCCGAACTAACTTCCGGCTTCAGTCGGAGAGGGAAGTCAACTTCCCGAAGCCGACTAGAGTATACTTCCGCCCTCTGAGGAGGAACATCTGCCGCAACGCTGGCGGGATCCGATGAATTTCCGGCTCACCGGGCCAATCATTGGCGTCCTAAAAGTCGCCAACGAGCAGTTTGAACGCACAGAATCCTGGACTTTGTAGTCATTCCTCATTAGGATTCCCCGACGCTGAGGTCCGAGAGGGCTGTAATCGATAGGCCAATCCCAAGCACGCATGATCTAGTGATGTCACTGGTCGTCGGGCAGATCCTTTTCTGGAAAGATTCGATTTGAAGCCGTCAATGCGCCCCCTGGTGCTTCTTCCCGCACTTTCCCAGAAGAATGAATGCCAAAGAGGGGTGACCTATGGCGACTAAGTAAGGTGCTCACCTGGACCCTGCAGAGAAATATGGCCAAGTTTGACAGTGGTCATGTGTCAAGTGGGAATTGGAAAGCCAAAAGTAGTCTATTGTTTCCCTAATTTTCAAGCTGCCACAGATCCCTAAAGCCCTGGGTATTTGTTTGGAAGAATCATAATAAGAATCTAGAGAAGCAGTGATAGGAAGAAACTCTGAACCTGGAGATTGAAGACCTGAGTTCTGGCCCCAGAATAAACCAGTGGTGTGACCCTGGCCAGTCTCTCCAGGCGTGTTTCCAAAGCTCTAATATGGCCAAAGATTTAAAGCCAAAAGCGATCTAGCCCAAACCTCTCATTTTGCAGATAATAATAATGTTTATTAAGGTTTGCAAATATGATTTGCTTTAATCCTAACACAACCCTAGGATATAGGTGCTATTTTTATCCGTGCTTTACAGATGGGGAAAACTGAAGCTGGCCCCCATTAAGTAACTTGCCTAGGGTCATACAGCTAGGGTGGTTTGAATTCAGGTTCCCCTCACTCTACCCACTGGACCACAAAGTTACCGAGGAAAGAGGTCCAAGGAAGGCAATTTGAACCCAGGTTCTCTGAGTCCAAATCCACCATTCTTTCCACTGCACAGACCAATGAACTAGAATAGTAAGAGGGCAAGAGGCTCTGGGGATGAATGACAAATTTGCTGTTGTTAAAACAGTAAAAACTGAATTCTCCTCACCATAAAGAAAAATAAGGTGGGGGAGGAGTGAAGAGTACAGTGTGACACACACACACACACACACACACACACAAACTCAGTTCAGAAAAGAATCTGGCTTTATTATAGAAACAAAGATGTTTGACTTGAATGACCCAGATTAAAGTTAGGAATCTGGGGGCAGCTAGGTGGCACAGTGAATAGAGCTCTGGCCTTGGAGTCAGGAGGACCTGAGTTCAAATCCAGCCTCAGCACTTAATACTTACTGGCTGTGTGACCCTGGGCAAGTCACTTAACCCTGATTGCCTCAGCAAAAAAAAAAAAAAAGAAAAAAAGGTAGGAATCTGTTCAGTGTCAGTAAGTCATATTACTGAATTTTAGACCTATTTCTAAGTGATGGGGTAGGGGTGGGGGTGGGTTCTCTGGTCTTTCCCCCAACTCAGCTTCCTGGGGAGGGAGAATAGTATGACAGTACCACTCAGGAAGACCTAGAAGGCTGACCCTGATCCTCTAGTAATCCTATCTCCCTTATCAGTTATCCAGGGGCGTGGTAGCCCTTCATTGCTACACAAGACTTCCTAAAACCCAAGGTTCTTGCCTGACAGTGGTTGAAGGAGTGGTTTCAGAGATATTTAGTCCCTGATTTGGGGAAGATGGGCTGTAGAGCTGCCATTTTCTTGTTAGTGGACCACAACATGCCATTCACTGACTAGTGGCCCCTCTGCTGACTGGACAGAGCCCCAGACTATTAATAGCCCAGTACCCAGGCTGCTGACCTGCAAACATTCCTGCTGCTGCCACCTGATCCTTGGCCAAGGCTAGAGCCAAGAATAGTCCTCTCCTCTCTCTCTCTCCTTTCTCCTTCCCATTCCCTTTTCTTCACTTAAGCCCCCCTTCTTCTTTACTCCTTTGTCAACCTATCTTGAGAAATAGGTATGGATATTTCATTCACTCCCCTGGGCCCTGGGTTCAACGCTCTTGAGGCAATGTGGGCAGGCATTCCTTCCTCTGAGAACACTCTGAGCTTTTGGAGAGCGCCCTCTTTAACCAAGAGGCCTGCTCCCTTTCATCCCCTCTAACTCTGCATGTTCCAGGATGTGGCATGTGGAGATCTCTTTTCTCCCAACCCGTTTCCCCACCCCTACTCCATGAGGCCATTTTCTTCACTTTTAATACCTCCTCCCCACCCCCCAGAAGTGGGAGGAGAAACCAGTGGGAGGAGCACCTTTCCCAACCCCCATAATGATCAGTAGCTCCTTCTTCTGCTTGGTAGAATTGAGACTGAGGAGCATGAGTATTTTAGGAAAGGGAGGGGTGGTATTCAGAGTGATAGCCTTCTCAATATGTCATATCCTCAACTGAAGGCTGGAGGGAGGGAAGGCAGGGGGTGGTAAATGAAAAGGTCAGAGTCAAAGCCACGCTGAAAAGGTACAGGAGGTACAGTCAGATTAAGTTCCTGATACCCAGAGATAGAGTGAGCGAGCCCAGGGAGGGGGAAGGGAGGAGGCAGGGGAGAAAAGTCACTGGAAAGGTCAGCCGGGTAGGAGAGGAGCTGGCAAGACCATGGAAAGTGCCAGAGCTCAAAAAGCCAGGAACCAGGAAAGCCCCAGGGAGGGGAGAGGGGCCCCCAGGGCCTCTGATGCCAGTATAGCTGGTTCTGATGCCAGGGGAGGAGGGGAATGGACATGCTCAGAGGGTTCTGAGGACAGAGATGTTGCTAGGAGAAGCTGGAGGGGAGTTGAGATCTTTGTATTTTGTAACAAACACTGAAATCCATTGACACAGGGCAGTGCCCCTGGTGAGGCTGGAGCCAGGGAAGTTCATGAGGCTCTATCTTCCTCCCCTTTCTTCTCTCCCTCCCCCAAGCCCAGCCCACCTCCTAGGCCACATCTGCCCCAACTTTCTCACTTCCACAAGAAGCTGACACGGCTGGTTGCCTCAGTGGCCACTCAGTTGGGCATGGGAACTGGAGGACAGGGTTTTTAGCTTTGGGCATAGTTTTTGTAGGTTAGCAAAATGTAGCAGCCATTCTGGCCCCCTATTAGACAGAGAGCATTGAGGTTCATTTCCCCCATCCCCAAAGGGAAAAGAAAGAGAGGAGGTGGCAGGAGGGGAAGACACAAGAATTCTGGACTTCCCAAGCTGAGATGAGGTAAACTGCTTGGGTTTGATTTGGCCTCCAGTTGAGATGAGAGTGAGCAACTGTGAAGTCTTGGAAAAGGTGTCGGGGCCCAGAGTGCCCTGGAACCAGGTTCAGGGAGCTGGGGATCTCCAGTAACCTAGCCCCGGCGCTGTTCACATGTGTTCTGGGTGGTTCTGGAGGCAGTGGATAAACTTCTGGACTGGGTGACCCTCATAGCACACCTGGTACACTGCCATAAACAGGGGGAACCTGGGAAGAACAGCAGGGAAAGAATGAATCGCGGTCCAGAAGATCCCCATTTCACATACTAATGACAAACTCCTCAGCCTTGGGGTGAAAGGCACCCTCACAAATGGTTCTTCTTTCCCTGTTCCTGCCGCCACAGTCTTGGCCCGCACTCTTCTCTTCTGGACTGGGGGGTCCTTCATACCCACTCCTTGTCTCGCCTGCCCCCGCCCCATTCCCTGTGTCTAGGCAGTTGCTCCCGGCAGAAGACAGAGCCATAGCCATAGCCTCTTTCTCTCTTTCTCTCTTCGCTCTGACCAGACCTCTTCTAAACCCTTTTCAAGATTCCCTGCCTCCCGGAAGCTTGCCCAACCTCAACTAATCACACCGGCATCCCTCTAGCAGGATTTGTTTATGTATTCAACATATACGCTCGTGTTTCTGTGCGTGCTTTTAGAGTGAGCCTGAGGACTGGGACCCTGTCTCCATGCAAGGGGTTGGGGTGCTCAGGAGAAGTGGGAGGGTCAAACAAAATGCCCGACTGTCAGAATCCTATCCCTGGGCCCCTCAGATCTTGTCTCCTGTGACAGGGAAAGGGTGAGACGAAGGAGGGCAAGGGTTGGTGGGGAAGGGAACAGGAGGTCTCGTTCAGTGGGACCGCACTCACTTGTCCACCAAGCCCTTGTGCTTCAGAATGCTGTGCAGCTCCTGAGCTGTCTGGGGCCCCTGAAGCTTCTGCCCATTCAGCATCTCTTTTTCCAGTTGTTCAATAGACTGTGAAGGAGATGGAGTTGGGAGGAGGGTAGGGACAGGAGGGTCTCAGTAGTTGGGGTCAGGAGGAGCCTGAAATCTCAGATAGGGAGTAGGGGCACTGGGGAGGAATTCTGGGAAGGGGTAAGAACATTCACAGCAGATGCTTAGCCGGTGCCTTTTCCCCAGTACCTGCCTCAAGCATCTTTCAGCCCTCCCAACCCCGCCCCCCACCTCCCGGAAGCCTTCCCGACTCCTCTCCTCTGCCCCATTGCCCCCCTGGACCCTCGCCATCCTCCACCCCACCTCTTGAGCCCCCACCTTTCCAGTTCGAGCAAAGGCTTCAGCCACTTTTCGGTTCCGCCCCCCGTAACAGGTGGTAATAAGGTCAGCAACCCCACAGCTTTCCAAGAAGGTAGCCGAGGAGACCGAGCCCTTGCAGAAGAGCTTGGCGAATGCGATCATTTCCATGAGTCCCAGCCGGATCACAGCGGCCTTCGTGTTGTCACCAAAGCCCAATCCGTCGCAGAAGCCAGCTCCGACGGCAACCACGTTCTTTGTGGGGAAGGGGGGGAAGGAATGTAGTCCTTAGACGGCATCTTAAGGGCCACCATATCTCCTCCCTCAACCCCATATGCTCTCTTTATAGACCTGGTTGGGGTAGAGAGGCATTACTCTTGGTTAGATTGAGTATCACAACCACAAGTTCTTAACTTGGGGTCTGTCAACCTTTTTTTTTCTGCATTTTAATGACTCTACTTCAATATAATCGGTGTTCTTTGTAATTTTTTAAATTTCTGTATTTTATTTTATGCATTTAAAAACAATATTCTGCGAAGGGTTCCATAGGATTCACCAGACTGCTTAAGGGATCCGTGACAAAAAAGGTTAATAATCTCTAAAGCAGAGGGTTCTGCCTTTTCAATAGCAAGGCCAACATGGAAGATGAGCAGCTGGGGGAAACCTACAGCCTCCAGGCCACACATGGCTTTCTAGGTCCTTGGGTGCGGCCTTTTGACCGAGTCCCAAGTTTTACAGAACACATCCTTTTGTTAAGGGCATTTGTTCTGTGAAGTTTGGGTTCAGTCAAAGCTGCGTTTGAGAACCTAGAGGGCCACAGGTTCCCCACTCCTGCCCTAACCTGTTTCCAAAATACTTCACGCTGCCCTCCCTGAGTCCAAAACTGTTCCTTTTCTCTGGCATAGCCTGTGCCACCTAACTTTGGTGGACAGGACATAGAGTGCTGGGCCTGGAGTCAAGAGGACCGGAGTTCAAATCCAATCTTGGACACTAGCTGTGTGACTGTGGGCAAGTCACTTAACCTCTGTTTGCCTCAGCTTCCTCATCTGTAAAATGAGGACAATAATAGCACCTACTTTGAAGGGTAATATCTGTGTAGTGCTTAGCTCAGGGCCTAGCAGGCACTTAATACTTGCTTGTTCTTGTCCCCTTACCAACCCTACTTCATACCTCCTTCCTCTAGAAATAGTTCCCTGATTAATCCATACCTCTAGCATTATTTCTAGATCTCTTTCTGGCTGTCCCATGTTCTTTTCTTATCTCTAAGTCTGTATCCTTGGTGTCTCCCTATCTCTCCCACTAGATTGAGAACTACTCAAGGGCAGGGGCTCTCTCCTCCCTCTGGATCTTCCTTTAGCCTCTAAGATAGGGCTCTCGCAAAGGGCATGGGTGGTCTAGATGAGGGCAGGGGTTTTTCATCTGGTGGGTGCAGGGAGGATCTGAACCTGTTTCCTCAAGTTGCCTCTATAGGTTGCACCCACTGGGGTTTTATCTAGCCTGGAGTCCAGGCAGCCTATAGTTCTCTCTATGGAGCCCAGCAGGACCTAACTCCTCCCCTTGCCCCTCACCTTGAGGGCCCCACAGATCTCTACTGTGTCCACTTCTTGCACCACAGTTATTCGGAAATTTGGTGTTTGCAACAGCTCCTTCAACAGCTGCCCTTGGGCCAGGTCCTTGCAACCTAAAGCGGAAGGGATGAGGCTGAGCAAGAGACGTCCCTCAATGACAGCTGTTCTCCCCTTCTACTCCCCTTGCCCTACTGCACCCCTCTATCCTCCCTCTAGTCTTCCCCTTGTTAGTATCTTTATGGGGAAAAAAAGATGAGAAAAGGGATGGGTTGGGCTATGGTGAAGGTAGGGACAAGGAGGTCTCACCAATGGTGGTTTCACAGAATTTCTCATCAGCCACCTCATTGGCAATATTGGCCCCCATCAGCACACTAATGGGGATGCCCAGTCGTTCGTGAATCACCTCAGAGATCAACTTCAGCCCATCGGGGCCCTCGTCCACACCCTGGGCACAGAATGGGATTCAGAGCTAGCATTTGTCTGTTACTTCCCGTCTCCCCCCACCCCTCTTTATCATCCCAAGTCCCATACGTGGAGACCTATGCCCTCTAAAACTACGATTCAGTAGACTGCCTTCTGCTTAAGATCTTTCTCCTATCCCAGCTTAGGAACCGGACGAACTTCTTTCCTTAGCCATCCCCACAATGCCCCAAACCAATGCACTACTCCCCTCCCCTATTTCTCTGCAATTGCTACTCTGGTTCTCACTCCTCACTATAGCCATTCCTTCCCCCTGCCCCCCTTCTCCCACCCTAGGCACCTTGATAAGAGACACCCCAATGGCATTTCCCTTCAGATGACCCTTGAGCTGGTCACAGATTTTGCCAATGAATTGATGGGGCACCACGAAAATGAGAATGTCCGCATCTGCTGCTGCCTGGATCACATCTGGTACAGCCACCTACAGGAGTGGTAGAGCAGTGCTGACAGGACTATTCTTGGGGTTGGGGGAGGGTGCTGGGAAAAACAAGCAGGGAAACGGGTGCATGGGGGCAGGATTGGGTTTCATAGGAGCTATCAGACTTAAAGAGACAGGGCATTTTCCCAACTGCCCTCCCCCAACTGCTCCAGCTATTCTGTGGGGTAACAGATTCTTGAAAACAACTTCTGAAACCCTAACTTGCTTCTAAGCCATGTCTATGGGACATGACAGGTAACTAAAAAGAGGATGGGTTGGGGTGGCTGAAGCACTCAGATGACTTTAAGGGCTAAAAATGAGCTGCAGACAACATGACCTCCCCCTTTTCAGGGGGAAGGTGGAAGACAAATGAGTTTGGCCTTACTCCTATAATCCACAGAGCTGTCTCCAAGGTCAGCCACTGGGTGAATGAGTAACACGATGAGAGCCAGGGGCACTATCCTGGACCCCAGAGTCTGGATGCCTGGCCTTGGCTGCCACAGAGATGACTTGCTTCTAAATCTCCCTCCCCCTTTTCTCATCCAACCCAGCCGTGGAGCTACCTTATGGAAAGTGGGGACCACATTCTGTTCCTTCTCCGGTCCTGAGAAACCCCAGATTAGTATTAGGGGACTAACAGCCCTTGGACAGATAGGTTATTCTTTGTGCAGATCTGTCACCCTCTGGGGCTGGTACTGACCTGGGATTAGGTCCAGGTTCCCTCAAATAGCCTCTTAATTTAGGACCTGGAGTGTGACCCCCATAAACTCTCCACCATCATTCTCTCTACCCCCATTCATCTTTAAGGGGACCTCACCACATTAGGAGGCAGCTTGTGCCCAGGTAGGTATTTGACATTCTCATGCTTCGTGTTGATGATCTCTGTTAACTTTTGGCCCGAGACTTCCTCCTCAAACACCCACATGGTGACCTGAGGGTCAAACTGTGCCAGCTGGGCCACATTGCTACCCACAATCTTGGCAATAGCAGAGCCCCTGAGGAATGGTGGCAAAAGAGGAGGATTTAGTGAGGTTGGTGGTAAGGGAGTAGTTTCTAAGATCTGAGTAGGCTGAGATGATAGTGGGAACAGCTAGCACCTATCCTTAGGCTAACAGATAGATTGAGCCCACTAAAATGTAAATAACCACCTTTCCTATCATATCCCCCACTCCTACCCAAGGAATAATGGGGCTGAGACTCTAACTAGTTTGGGATACTAATGAGATTTAGTCCTACTCACTGGGGATGAGACCCAGGTTCCAGATTCATACCATCCTGCTGCTCTCAGGAAAGGCACCTGCTGTCACCCCAACAGGAACATAATCAATCGGATATTGGTGGGGAGGAAAAGTCAAGGTGCCTTCTTTTCTTCAGGGGTGTTGGTACAATTGGAAGGAGAGGTAGCAGCCCTGAAGCCCTATCCTGCTCTTGTTCAAAATAATGATATAGGATTATTGGGGCAGCTGCTGGGGCTAAGGCAGGGCAGAGGGTTATTTCCTACTCTCTCTCCTCTCATACCCTCCTGGTGGTCATATTGTTTCCCTCCCTTTCTCCCCACCATAGTCCTCAACAGGGCCTCTTACCAGTTCCCTGAGCCCACGATGCAGACCTTCTTGCCAGCCATGGTCCTGCCTCCCAGCCTGGGACAGCTCTGTACCACACTGCCCTGCTCCTCCGTTTGCTCGGAGCATTTAACTGTGGCATGTCGGGGAAGCCAAGCTCCACCCCTAAAGCGGGGGTGGGAGTGAGGGAGAGTCCAGCAGGGACAGGGAGGAACAAATGGAGAGAGGTGGGGACAGGGAATCAGGACAGAGACTAATCTCAATTTTTTTCTCCCCTCGGCTGGCACCTTCTGGTCTCCTGCTTTCCTAGGAGAGTTCATTAGGCGAGGGACCAAGACTGTCCTTTCCATCAGCAGACCTAGGAATTATACCTTTTCAAAGCACCAGGCTGTTGTCTAGCAGTGACAATGACCAACACCTGATTATGAGGGCTAGTATCCTGCAACTTGACAGACGGGGAACCCTCAAATAACTTAGCACAAACATAGGGAGCTTGAGAATGCATGAGGTCTGGCTCCTCAACCAACACACTAAAGGCCAAATGCATCTCCAATAAAATAGTCATTCTGGGCCCCCACCTCAGGTTCCTTTGACTCAGATATGGCTGAGGGTGTGTGAGGTGAAAATTTGTTGATTCAGGTCCCCATATGACAGAGCTCAACCTTTGGAATAGACTCACTTTTGAAGGGTGGTGGAGTTTCTCTCATTTGGGAATGACAGGGTGGAAAGATGCTGAGGAAGACTATGCAGAGAGTCAATCAATTTATACCTGCCCCCCTCCCCCAACTCCCATGCACACCTCCCTGTCAAGGGCTTAGAGGGGAGCAGAGGCAATATCAATGGACAAGATACCCTTCCCCTGCAGTTTTCACGCCTGCTACAATCCAATCCCAAGCACAGGTTGCAGGCTTTGTCGACACTACCACGCTGTTCCTAGAGTGCGTATGAAGGGGCGTCAGGAAAAATGGCAACAATACATTCTGTAGGTCCAAATTGGTGTGTTCACATAGCCATGTTTGGTTAAGAGAGGGCAAAGGTTCCCAAACTGCCTTGGAGAGGAGGGTAAGAGGCCTCTTGGGCACTGCTGCCTGTGCACTTTGGCCTAACAGGCAGACATCACCCTAGCCTAAGGCTGCACTCACATGCCTAGCTCCTGCCTTGGCAGTTGCTGCTAGAGAAGAACTGGGCTAGAGTGGAACCCCCATCTAACTGGGGGACAGAAGTGAGCACATGGGAGGTGAAGGTTCACAACAAATAGTACACATTGTTATTTTTTAAATCCCAAAAGATGGATGGAGGGGCTGGTCCAGGTTCTACAATCCCTCCTCTGGCTAAGATAGAACTTATCCCAGGGCAACAAAATTTCCCTGAAGCTTGGTTTATTCCCTCTTCAGAACACAATGTTGATTCAAACTCAAGGCCAGCTTCTTTCCCACAGCTCCACCCCCATCTTCCCTCTGGCACAGTGTGTATAAGGCTGGCAGCAAGGGCTCAAGTACCAGCTGGAAGCACTGGAGGATAGGCAAAGGTGGAGTAATTCTGTTCCTGGAACACCTCCATTTTCTTCACAGGGTCAGAAGACACTTGACAGAAGTACCACAGAATGTAGATGAATCCCAAAGGCCTGAGTTCAAATCTGGTCTCAGATACTTATTAGCTGGGTGACTGTGGACAAGTCACTTAACTTTTGCTTGTCTCAGTTTCCCCAACTGGTTAAATGAGCACCTACCTCACAAAGTTGTTGTGAGGATCAAATGAGATATTTTATTGCCAAGATTCTCTACTCATCTGATTCTTTCCTACTTCCCCAGTGTTATCTCAAGGAGGGTGGGGCAGGAATAAAGATAAACTAAGGTCTAGAGAAAAGTCAGGATGGCCCAATGCTACACCCCTAGTTTCTACTACTGCTAGGACTCTTTAAGAGACCAAACTGCAAACTATTTACCAAGATTAATTTTCAGGTATGGGAAATTTGAGGGTGTGTGTAATTCTTGTCACCTGTGATTGGATCATGGGGACTCTCCCCCACACCCCATCTTCCCAAGAAAATGCTATTTAATACAAGGCAAATGTAACTACTGTCCAGCATCTAAGACCCTGCCCAGTTCCAATGTCACTGACCCCTCCCACTAAGCTACCTACTTATTCATGATATGATAAGGTTCTAAGATTTGGACTAGGAACTATAATCTAATATACCCCATTTTAATTGCACCAGCTACTTGAAACTCTCTACTAATGTAAGGAAGCAAATAACAAAAGTTGCTTAACTTTGGGATGTAATTATTAACAGACACACTTGCTGTGCCTAATCCCTTTTCTCCTTGCAGTGGGATCCTAACTTGGCAGCCAAGGACCAAACTGACTGGTGGAAGGAAAGCCTGAGACAATCTGCCGGACAAATAAGTGAGTTGATTGTAGGGAATATCAGTGTAGGTTAATATACCTTGGGGACCAATCTCTCTTGAGGGATCCTTCTGGCTCTTGAGTGGTTGGCTCACTTTATAAAATAAAAACAACAGCTTAAACAACTTCCAAACCTTAGATGTGATTGTATCCTCTAGGCCTTTAAAAAGGGAATCCTTAAGACAAGGGAAGCTAATAGGAAGCGGCCACAGAGGAGCCTTAAAAATGACCTGGCAAGCAAAACTCATCAAACAATGACAATACCCCACCCCACCTCTCGTCCTCTCCCAAGGACAACTAATTCCAGGAGCTCTAACTCCAGTGTCCCAGGGAATCAAAGGCTTCAGATGACCCTAGGGAAGGTCAAGGTAGGAGGGACCAGAGATGGTACAAGCTGTAGAACTTCCCAGATGTTGAGAACTTCAGGGAAGATGGGGTGTGGGGGAGGGGCCCCATGATCCAACCACAGGTAACAATAATCACACACCCCCTCAAATTCCCCATACCTGAAAATTAATCTTGGTAAGTACTGAATGCCTCAGTGTTATTTTAGTCTTCCTATAGTACCCAGATTCCCTTTCCCTGTAGAGTATAAGCCACAAAAAACGGAGGCTGTGAACATGGTAATTGGTAGTAAATAGAGGTCATTAGATTGATGAAGAGTTCTCTATCAAGAAGGGGGAACCCATCCTTCAGAAGATGCTTTTATTAAAACCGGGTGACATCTATAAGGGAACAGTACAAAAAAAATTTTGGTCCATGAAAAAACATAATATTCAGTTAATAAAAAGTTATCTGCAACAGGGACACTGCCTAAGTGGTGGGAGGAAGGCCGGTGTCTGAGCTTCCTTCACACGGTCCTGGCCAGGAGCGGGGCCAGGGCTCAGCTGCCCTCCCCCAACAGAGGTTTGTGAGGTGTCGTTGTAGTAGTGTAAGGGAAGCCTTTCAGAGGGACAGTGGGAAGATGCCGCTGCCACGTGATGTGCAGCAGGCACAGAGGAGGGTATACTCGCAGGAGCCTGAGGAGGGGTGGGGAGGCAGGAGTCTGTCAGTTCTGTGGGGTTTTGGAGCTGAGGCCAAACCCAACGCCCCTTCTGCGCCTAGCTCTCTCCCACCCTGCTGTGTTGAGTCTGCGAGCCTGAGATATGCTAACTTAAGGGAAAAATTCAACCTGGAAAAGGAATATGGAGCTTTCCTGGAAGGATGCAAAACCATCTCAGTTCTACTGGGCCAGACCCCTGGCCCTGCTGCTTACCTGAGGGGCTGAAGGATTTCAGTTGGGATTAGGGGTAGAGAGAGTCACAAACCCAATAAAGAGCCGCTCTCCAGCCCTCGGCTCTCCCTATTCCCCAATGCCCCATGACCCACTATGGGGTACTAACTAAAGGGGCAAGGGACAGGGAAACAGAGATGGCCCAGGGCTTTTATCCATTGGGTTTGAGGTGTCTCTCTCTGCTGGGGAAAAGGTGGAGTGGGAGGGTTGGTGGCCACATCTCCAAGCAATAGCCGGAAGGAATGAATGCCTTTGCTGGCAGTGACAACACACAAGGGAATGGATGTGAGGAAAGGCAGGGCTCCCAGCCCAAATGCCCTGGCTTAGGAGGAATCCTAAGAAAAAGCAGC